CACCACCGCCACCCTTCACCACCACCCTTCACTACCACCCTCCACCACCACAATCGTCCATACACCACCGTACACTACCACCATTAATTTATATAGCAGTCTACAGATATTAAAAAACAAACAGTCTTCTTCTTGCAGACCGCAGACCTTCGGTCCACCACTTCTCCTGCAGATATCTACAATAGTGGTCCGCAGACTGCAGACCTTTTCCTGCAGAAAAAACAAACACCCCCTTAGTGGGGGTAAGGTCTGCATACACACTCTCCCTAGACCCTGCTTTTGTGGGATTCTATTGGGTTGTTATTGGTTAAAATTGGTTCCAAAGTCAAAATTAACTTGAGCGTGTAATTGAAGGGGTGGGGGTATGTTCGGGGCGGAGCAGGGTGAAGGTCTACCGGAGGGAGAGGGGGGGATTAAGGGGAGTAAGAACCATTAATTTTACGAATAGGATACTCCTGGGTTATCCCATGACATGGGTTGCAATGTCCCCTTAATCTCAGACCGTGCCTCGAGTTTTCTCATACTCCATTAAACTGGCAATGCTGCACACCGCACACGAGAGGAATGTTACTGCCCGATGAACATATGGTGCTGTGTTTGTGTTGGGATGATTTTTTTTTTTTTTTTTGCATTGTGTTCACAATGCAGGTTAATTTTGTTTAACTGAGAGGAAAGTATGCAATATAAAAATTGAAGAGTAAGTAAAATCTAGTGTTTACAATGTCAACCTATACTAACATTTCAATAATAAGAGGGTATTTATTAAGAATACTAAATTTTTATTAGTAGTAGTGTTTACAATGTCAACCTATACTAACATTTCAATAATAAGAGGGTATTTATTGAAATGTTATATTTTATAACATTTTAATTATATTTTTATATTATCTATAATAAATTAAGAATACTCTTTTTAAACAATAGTTAGACTATTAAGCCTAAAATTATTTTTAAAGTTTTGAGAAACCGTAATGTATTACTAGTAGTGTGTGTCACACTGTTTTTTTCACGGTTATCTATAATAAGTAAAGAAAACTATTTTTAAGAGAATTGTGCGTATTAAGCCTAGAAGAATTTTAAAAGTTAAGAATACTCGTTTTAAATAGTAGTCTTGCTCTTAAGCCTAGAACTATTTTAAAGGTTCAGAGTAACGGTAATCTTTTTACAATGAAAATGGATACGCTCTCTAACTTTACTTTCATACTTTCGGACAATATATGTACAACAATCAAATAAACATTGTTTCGAACAATTATATGGACATGAAAAAATAAACACTTCCATTGAAACGAAAGAAAAAGTACATGGATAGGGTACTGTCCCGCTACACACAAAGGGAATTGGGAACGCATACAATCAATCAATATCACATCATAAAACCAAAAAACAATAAGAAGATGGCGAGATGCAAATAAGAGTACACAAAATTTATTAAAAACAAAACTAAGAGTACATTGGCTTGCTTCAATCCAAGGCCCGAGTGCTAGAAGTTGTCACATTGTCCTGAAAGCCTTCTTCATTGCTTCCCTCGGTTTGAGTTCAGACACAACAAGTGCATAGGTAGGAAACCAAACGAAGTCAACCTCTAGTACCCAAGTAATAATAGCCCAAAGTCCACCAATTCCCCCAACCGAATGGGTTAAGAAGGTGTAACACCCCAACCCGCATGACCAAAACCCGTGAGACAGCGGACCGGTGTGCCACTGGATTGGTATCCGAATTTGCAGCATTTTCCAAACAATTTTAAACAAACGTTCTTTCAATACATATAAAAATCCATCGGAGTAATTTAAAATAATGCGGAAGCCTTTTTAAAGTCAAACAACTTGGGATCTTGCCTGAAAACGTAATAAGCATTAAAGTTAATTAAATAAAGCATAACTACAGATTAAAGAGACAGCCACGCCATCGTACATCTCCTCCTCAATGCCCTCCAGGATCGGCTCTAGGTTCATCTGTCTGATCACCTACGGACAGCAAAAAGGAAAACAACGCTATCCGCTCAGCATTGACGCTGAGTGGCACTCCATTGTAGCACAAGAATAAACATAATAATTCAACAATTAAGATCGCGCATATGTTTATCCTTTTAATAAAAATCAATTCAACTTTACATTCGGTTCTTTAGACGGTTGACCAACAGTCAACTTATTTTCTTTCTTTTCAAAATGATTTAGGTGTTACGGGTTTCTCATTAACTCTTTGACCACCGGTCAAACCAATTTAGACTTTCACGAAAGTCAAACCACTTAACATTTANACTAATTCATTAAAGTCTTGGATTTAACCATCCGGTCAAACCTACGTCAACAGAATATCCAGTCAAAGTCCAAGTCAAACAGGACCTAACCCAAGTCAAAGTCAAACCTGTTCAGTCAATCCATAATCCTCAACAATTCAATTCAAATAATCAATTTAATTCAATTAACCAATTTAGCCAAATTATAGCATAAACACATATAACGATCCAAACCATTAAATCTATTCTGAATGCTATTAACTTCATAGTACGGACCTGGATTTCGCCGAAATCGAATCGATAGCTCGAACGGAGGACAAATCAACGAAATCAAACGAACGGGTCAAATTGAGTCAAAATACGAAATCGACCAATCAATCCGGCGTGGAGGTTAATCTGCCGGCGATATCAACTCGGGGCAGCGGCTGGATGCGGCGACGGTGACGCACGCCGGCGACAGTGGCGGAGCGGCAGCTGTTGGCGGTCTACCTTGTTCAAAATCGAGGGGATAGAGACAAACCGAAATAGGAAACTGAAGAAGAAGAAGAAACTGACCTGAGCTAAGGGCGACGGCGGCGCTCGACGGTGATGAGCGGTGGACTTCCGGCGAAGGCGAAACAGCGGCGATTGGAGACCGTCGTCGGCGGCGCTGACCCTGGCAGTGGAGGCGACGTCCAGTGGCGAGGCGCGGCGGCGCTGGACTCGACGGCGATGATGGCGACAGCTACTGGCGAAGGAAAGGCAGCGGCGTTGGAGGCGGAGGTCGGACGGCAGGGATGACCGGCGAAGAACGGCGTCTGGCTCGGGCGACGCCGGCGTGGTCGAACAGCAGGGAGGACGACCGGCGGCTGGCTCACGGCGGCGATCGAAGAAGAAGAAGAAGAAGAAGAAGAAGAAGAAGAAGAAGAAGAAGAAGAAGAAGAAGATGAGGATGTGCGGTTCTCAGAGATCCGAAGGAAAGAAGATAGGTTTAGGTTTATTTAATGGTCCCATTTCTAAAAGGATTGGGATTCGGACCCAAAATACCTGATTAAATGGTCATAACATGAGCTCCATAACTCCGATTCGCGAGCCGTCTGAACCGACGCGATCACAAAAATATTTCCTACGAGATGACATAAAAGTTGGGCTTAGAATCCAAATTATAATTTTAACTCCTTTTTAGGCCCAATTCGTAATCAATTGCTCTAACAATTTAATTAATTCTTTTGGGCCAGATTTCAGGGTGTTACAGAAGGACAAATGATAGGGCTTCAAGCAGTATCCAAAAATCCTCTTCACAATGGTTAAAACAACCCCAAGACAAAGGAACCTCAATCAATGTCACAAAAAGGTCAAAAACCATCCACATCTAGTGTCAAACAATGGCCACACAACTCCCTTCAATGTGTGCCACTGCCTATGGTTAGGGCAGTCAAAACAGCAGCTCAAAACACTCTAGAAACACAACAAAAACCAACAGCTTCCTCGCAGTGCTCCTAGCAGTGCTTTTGGCTAAGCACAACAGCAACACCAGCCGCAAATCGGTGCAAACCAGCAACAAACTAGTGCCCCATACTTCAGCTTCAGCTTCTAGTCCAATCATTGCCCCAAAACACAGTCCATGACCTCTCATCTAAAGTATTTAATTCCCAAGTGCACCTCCAAGTACCATCCAATAGACCACCTTCAAGTACCAGCCAATCAATGCCAAAGAGCCACATAGGATCCGGCTATCTTTCCAGAATGAGTTCACACCAAAAGCTTTCTTCATGGATATCCCAAAAGCTGAATGAGTTCGGCCCTCACTTCATGCTTCACAAAACCATTAAGAGGAACAAAAACCAGCAAGTTCACGCTTAGTGATGATCCAATTTCATGAGTATAACAAGAGTATTGAGTAACCAACAAAGTAAGCAACACATAGTTCACACCAAACAATAGCAGCAAAAAAATAAAACCCAAGTCAAGCCTAACAAGGAACCAAGAACAACAATTGAAAGCCGTAAGCCAAGCATTCATTCCTCAAATTGAAATCAGAAGTAAACCGCGCACTTGTTATTGAGTCATCATCAGCAATATTTCAAAATAAACCACAGGAATCCACAAAAAGTTGGGCAAAAAACAAGCACGAAACTGATACAGTTTGCATTCCTAATTGGCATTGTGAACAGTAACTACAAACCACAAAATGCCTTAAATCGAAATAAAATTCAAATGGTATTGCAATCCAACTTCATAGCACGGAAGAGAGTTACAAACCGCTCAGAAAACCAGAAGAGTAGCCATCAAAATTGTCTGAAACCCAAGAATGAGTTTGAAACCCAGTAATGAGCAAAAAAATCTAGCCTAACACAAAATTTCAACAATTGAAGTACTTTCTTTTACAAAATTGAACCCAATTAAAATAATACAAAAGGGGAAATTCAAGAGAAAGTAAAAACCTTGAAATTGGTGGCGGACGAAACTAGCTTGGCGACGGCGACGGGGTTGGCGACGGAATCCGAGTTCTAGTTGACGCCGAGGAGAGGCGACGAGGAGGTAGACGAATGGACAGAAGTTGTTAACTTTATTCGTTGATGAACTACGATGCAAATGGGAAGACCGGTGCGAGGTATTTTGATTCTTTCTTCTGACCATAATCAACGAGAGATAGGGTTTTTTAGAGGAGGGAAAAGAGAAATTAGGAAGTGGGAGAATGAAATTTGTGGGAGGGAAAATGAATTTGGAAAGAGGGAAATTAAAATTTTAGAGATTTGGAGGTAAACTTAAAGAATATTAACTAAATTCCTGTTGAACAACTTACGCACTTCTAGAGGGGGGTGAATAGATGTGTTCTTCAATAATCAAAAGTTTTGGAAGATTAAACAAGAATTCGTAGGATTATATCAACCACAAGAAGACCAAGAAGAAGAGAAGGAGCAACACACGATGTATACTGGTTCGGCCTAATGCTTACGTCCAGTCCCCGAAGCAAACGTGCCCAAGATTCCACTAACTTTGTCAACCTTAACGGAGTTTGACAATCCGATTACAACTCGAGAACTTGAATTCACAAGCCTCTAACCTTTCCACAGAAGTCTTGATTTCACAAGACTCGGGATTTCTCTCCAAAACTTGAACAATGTGCCTGGATAGTTAAGACTTATTGTTGGACAATGTGCTATCACGAATATATATTTTTGCAATGTCCTTTGCCCATTGTCTTTTAGGTTTTGATAATGACAAAAGGGTGAAAAAACATCATCATCATATTGTGCATCAAGGCTAAGAATCAAAGCTACAACAAGTTCATATCCGTCCGTGAAGAAGGGACTTGAGCATCGGTGGAAGGAACGAGACCGGAGAGGTTGTTTCCTTAGTTGGGTAGTGTTTTAGGTCTTAGATTATGTGTTAAAGAGTATGGAATCTCTAAGGTTCATTCCCTTATCACCCTACCTTTAAAACACATTTTAGATCAGCCTTTGTGTGGGGAAGTTGCATTTCTATTCGAATAATCTTTAGTTTATTCGAATAAGTCGAGATATTTCCTGTGACTGAAATTAACCTCTTTTATTCGAATAAATCCACCACTTATTCGAATAAGTCCTACTTTTTCAACCTTATTTATTCGAATAAGTCACCCATTTCTTCGAATAGGAACTGGTTTTTCAAGCCACGCGATTGATCCAAACTATTCGAATAGTTCTTGACTTATTCGAATAAGTCGACAGTTTCAACTACCAAACGGCTAGTTTTTTGAATGCTTTTCATCCCTATCCACTCCCTAACTTCTATAAATACCTACTTTCGTGATTATCTTCATTAGAACACTTAGAACTGAAAGGAAACCATGCAAGGATAGACAGCGGAATATAAAAATTTTAACATCCTGACATGATTATCTTGCCCAGAATCACGTACTAAAACTTATAGTATTATGAAATTTGTACCTTTCTCCGTAAGCAGTAAAAACGAAGAAGTCGTAGGAAAAGCGTTGAAAGTGCAAACGTAACCGTTCAAGCGTCCGGTCTCCAACTTTGACACACGAACAACGCCGGAGTCTACCACAATCTTTATTCTAGTAAAGATTATAGTAGTATAAAATATAAAGATTAAAATTGGGATAATAATAATCTTGTATATTTCTTATAGAAAATATTTCTAATAATATTTAGAAAATATTATAGATATTTTCTATACACAAAATGATATTAATGGAACACAAAATAAACTTTCTCTCTCTAAGAAATTTATGGCCGAAAACCACACCCCAATTTGATAATTTACACTCTCCCTTTATAATTGTCATGTTTTCAACAAATGATTTGTCAATTTTGTCATTAAGCTAAAAGATAAAGTAATGAACAATTAATCAAGGATTATGGACAAAGTGAGATCCCAATTAGCC